CTAGCGGGGTTTTCTCCACCCAAGTATCTCTCACCAGCGGGCACCGCCCCAGCTGGGAGAAGCTCTAAGCTCCCGGCATGTTGTAGCGTGGTGCATGTTAGTGTAAACATGTGTTAGGGGAGAGGATGGGCAAGAAAGAGGTAGGAAAGATCGCGCGCGGTCTGTGGCCCGTTTGTTAGAGTACTACTCCGGCATTCGCCCGATGCAGCAGAAGAAATCACGGAAAACTACCGATAGGAGCAGCCGATCGCTAGAATTCTCTGCAGAGTAGGCTTATCTGGAGTCTAGGCTGTCTGCAGACAACGATTGAATTCCACCTAACGGACAGGCTAGTATCAAAACCCCTAGGACCTGCTGGAACTGAATCCTAGGACCTGCTGGCCAGGGGGACTTCAGTAACCTCACCCTGAGGCACCCCTCTCGGTCGCGTGCCGGAGGTCTGGCCGCAGAGGCCGTCGGGAGAGGCCGAGGTCAGCAGCGCTTCGCGCCGCGTCGGGTCGAGTCGGGTTCGTTTTGCGGTGGCGGCGGCGGCGGCGGCGGCGGCGGCGGCGGCGGCGCAGCGGGCGCGGGTGTCGCATTTAGCGGAAGTTGGCGCGGCGGCGGCGACGACGCCTGAGCTAGGGCCCCCGCGGGGCTGACTGGTGCGCCGGGACGCGCCGTGCGAGCGCCGGCACAGTGGGGCCTACGGCGGTGGGACGTTGATGGCTAAATATTGCGCCGCACTAGCTTTCGCACGTTTTTAAAGAAGACTGCGAGCGAATTTAATGTTCTTTGTTGTGGGGGTAGGATGAATCAATCGCATGAGGTAATGGGAATTATATTTTCAATATAGTTTAGATTCACTGCTTTTATAGCAATGAATAAACTTCAGTTTCTGATTTAGTAGCTATTGTATCGTATTGTATTCACACTTTTAAAGACGATTTAGTACGTTGGAAAATAATACTGCGTGCGAATTTAATAAATTTTCTTATAGGTGTAGAATGAATCAATTGTAAGAAGTAATGGGAAATAGATTTTTAATATGTTTGAGGTCATCTGTTTTGGTGCTAATGAATGCACCTCAGTTTTTGAGTTAGTAGCAAATTTTATCATTTTATTTTAGTTTGTTTTATTTTATTCCAAAGATTAAAGACGTTTCTTAATGGATCATTCAATATTCCTAAAGTACCTGTCTGTCACCTTCAGGTGATAAAAATATTTTACATACTAACGCTCCAGACACCGAAGAATGTTGCAGCGTAGGAATCTGATTAACCTAATATTACATTATTTAATACACACGGAATGTGATAAAGAATTAAACACGGTGATTAAAGTATTTTTATTTTATTTATTGGATAAAGATTCATACCTCTCTAACTTTACACATTTTGTTATGGTGACTCAGTATTATTTATCGCTGAATGAATTATTGTTGATATCGTTGACAGACCATAACTAATTACAACATATTTCTAATTAACACTCTAAAACTCTTGCGGTGTTGCTCCCTGGCAGGGGACATATTAATTATTTAAATTTATACAAAAGATACACATTTCATTCCAGTACAGTATAATGACATGAAAGTGTTCAAAAGTATGTTAAATACTAATTGACTTGTTAAAAACACGGAAATCATAATTTAATTTTAATTTATTATTATTATTTAATTCGATATAGCATTACTAATAACATATTTTTAACATTGTTGGGATTGTGTGAAGGAGGGGGCGATTGAATTTATAATATAATTAAAAATTATGACTGGATACACGGAGTCATCTGCTTTGATTATTTTTGCCGACAAGGCAGTGAATGATATAAGAAGTAGAATGATTATGAAACAAAAATGAAAAAAACAAGAATAGAAGAGCATAACCATGTACACGTTGATAAATTAAGAGAGAAAATATGTATAATAGCTTCTTCTAGTAAGACCACATTTAAAAAAATTCAAACAACTTTCTAGTATTCAAAACCACAACACACGCAACGAGAATCGGCCAAAACGTTTACACAACACGAATTTGTAAAACCCACCAAAAACACGAATTCAAACCGCTTTTAATACCCGGCACCTAACCCGAAGGAAAACATCTGCCTTGAATTTACAGCGAATGTGCTCCCACTGTCCAATCTCGCCGCGTGCTATCTGACTGCGTTCGCTCGTTGCGGGTAATGCAGGGTGGACGCCGCCTCGCCCCTCCCCTCCCTCCCCTTCCCCACTCCACCCCCACATTCCGGTCGAGCTTTAATGCTGTCCGCCCTCTCGCCCGTCCGCTCGCGCAGCTACTTCTCGCGGCCGGCAAACACGCAGGGCGAAATCCCACGCACAACACAGCCTCTCGCACGGCCCGACGGCCTCAAATGCTCGTTCAGAGTAAAACACTGCAGCTATTCTCGAAAAACAACGTACCATAAAGATGTTAAGACACGAATATCGTAAGCGTTTTATGCACTTAGTGAACATTTCGGTATACATATAATTTAACGATCTAGTAAATGTGACTGACATTAAAAATGTTAATAGGATGTCAGGGAGTTTTGTACTACTCGGCAACTTTTCTTAAACGATGGATTGAAGAAGTGCGGGTAAGTGGGGTATTAGTTACGATATCACCACTAGATTTTATGAAGCAAATGCAAAAATTGTGGAGAATCAATCATGCTTCTCAACGTTCTAAATAACTTGCGTACATTTCACCGGAGTTCATCTCAGTATCTCCTGTGATAATCTCAGATTCATGTCATATCCCTGTGATAGATCTCAGTATCTCCTGTGATAGATCTCAGTATCTCCTGTGATAGATTCAGTATCTCTGTTGATAGATCTCAGTATCTCCTGTGATATGATCTCAGTATCTCCTGTGATAGATTCAGTATCTCCTGGTGATAGATATCTCAGTTAGTCTCTGTATAGATTCAGTATCTCCTGTGATAGATCTCAGTAATCTCCTGTGATAGATCTCAGTATCTCTGTGATAGATCTCAGTATCTCTGTGATAGATCTCAGTATCTCGCTGTGATAGATCTCAGTATCTCCTGTGATAGATCTCAGTAATCTCCTGTGAATCTCAGTATCTCAGTATTCTGTGATAATCTAGTAATTCTGTGATGATGATTCAGTATCTCTGTGATAGATCTCAGTATCTCCTGTGATAGATTCTCAGTTATTTCCTGTGGATAGATTCAGTTCCTATGATAGATCTAGTATTCCCTGGATGTGATCTCAGTAACTATCTGTGATAGATCTCAGATCTCCTGTGTGATAGATCTCAGGTATCTCCTGTGATAGATCTCAGTATCTTGTGATAGATCTCAGTATCTCCTGGATAGATCTCAGTATCTCCTGTGATAGATCTCAGTATCTCCTGTGATAGATCTCAGTATCTCCTATGATATATCTTTACCTGCTTCAGTCATTTCTGTAGATTTTTGAAGTAGATAACGGATATAAGTTCTCGTCTTCAAAAGAAAATTGTTTCTATTTCGCGCCGGTGAAGATGTATCTGAAATGTTGTCATCAGTGCTCGCTGCGAACTTTTGCCTTCGTCTGTTTATTGTGCGAGGGAGGGGAAAGCAAGGTCATCGTTCAAGAAAAGTTGCGCTAGTAATAATGCTATTGTAAAAACGATTACTATTCATTAAGAAATTTGACATTATTGATTCTGGTGGGCCGTGGATTATTACAACACTTGTGTTCCATTATCTCATATTACGAAACTTATCTCAGTTTCGTAAAGTTTGTCAGATAACAAAAGTGGATAAAATAATTTTTAACATTTACAGATCTGGAATCTGTTACATGCATAATTGAAAGTGGTGAAATGTGTGCAAGACATCGCACTGAAGTTGGAATAGACTAGTTCTGTTGTTACAACGGAAATAAGAAAATCAGACTTTGATAACTTTACTATAAAAATATACTGTGCATAGAAATTTTCTTTTAGCCAAAATATGCCTCTATCGGAAAAAGAGATGGAAGGTGTCATTGAAAAAAAGAAAGGTAACAATCCTCAACATTCTGTTTATTCAGTCAATAATAAATTCAATAATTGTATATGTGTACGTAAATACATTACATTACAACAAGAATACTACAAAACGACATTCTAAAATTTTCAGTGCTTAACGATATCTGGAATTGTCCATTTTCTTAATCAATGCGACTGTAGTACGATGAATAGCAACCAAGGAATCTTACAAATAGAGACTCGAGAGTACATTTTAAAAATCATTTTAAAATTATTATTATTATTTTTTCATCACCCAGTATGATTTAGTTTGTTATCGTGGATAATATTTCCTCATGTCTTAGATTTGTCCTAGTGTGGCGTGTGTAGTGTACCGTGATATATTGGTCCTAGTGTGTTCGATTCAAGCCTATCAAACAACTTCAGTTTCACATAGAAATCCGAAAATTGTCTCCAAATAATTTTGAATACTTTTAAAAGAATTCGTTGAGTACGGTGTTAGAAGAGATTTGCAACGTCCCTTTATGCTCCTTACCATTACCAGTAAGATGGCATTACAAGCTGATGCTTGGCTAATCCCACACGCCTCATTCATTTACTATTGGACTGAATACTTTTTGAATATTCTCCGGTGCAAAATGTTTGTCTCTTGCCATCGTTCCCGATAGCTGCACACATTACAAAATACAAATGACAGGTACGAAAATTATATTAATAATTCTATGAAATTATGGTTAGATATAGCACAATTGTATTCCAACAAATTATTGTAAAATCTCACGAAAAACAACTAACCACACACTAAATCTACCACCTCAATATTACAGCACCCTACCACCGAATTATTAAACAAAACAGGCACTGGATTTAAGCCTCGTCCCTACCAAATACCAGCATCCATCTCCCCTCGGCACAGTGATATACGACTTTGGGAAGATATTTATAATATCGTACAGAAATATATGAGTACAATATCCATTTTCAATTCGTCTCCAAATTTCAATGATTTTTATTTTGTTTAAATGAAATGTAAGTACTTACCGATAAAACGCGTCATTATCAATGGGTCCATGTTGGGGAAGGCATCGCCCGAAGGCATAGTCTGCAACAAAAGAGCAACAGTTTATAATAGCTTATAACGAACGCTTCTGATATTCATTATTACGATTAGAGTCAACCACTCACGCGCCACTAAGAGTCTTCTGATTTTAATGAAATGTTCTTTGGTGTAACCATTATAATTTCTTTGATAAATATTAATAATCATAATAGTAATGTAAATTTTTATATAATTATTTAATTTTTAATATTATACAATTGATTTTCGTTTATTACCAAACGTACATGGCAACTTACACCCATACGATTTGCAGAGCTTACCTAAATTAACAGGGTACCATATATCCCATGTGTTAGTATCACTAATATCTGTATAGCGCATAAAATGACATAAGATCTCGTGCATAGAAATGAAATGATAAAGGAAAAAAAGGTAAAAGAGGGGGGATAACGAGAAAGCAAGGTAAAACAACAAATCAGAATAAAGGTACACCAATAGTATAAGAAAACACATGGTTGGAGAGTAATTAAAAGCGACCATAAAAGAGTTGGATATGCATTGATAATATGCAAAATAAAGAAAATATAGATTATAAAATATAATATTAATAGCAACAAGGGAAACTTTCAAATGCAAACTGGAGAGTACACAATTGGAGAATCATTTTAATTAATCATTTTGTTCGATTCATTCGATATGATTTAGTTCGTTGTCGTTGATAAATATTTCCTCGTTTATATTTCCCATTATATATCCTCTACGGGGTTTTGTTGTCTTTATTTCCTGCGTTAAGGTTATATAAATAAAAATTTACTACCGCAATTTCCTTATCTCAAACCTTTATCAGTATACGAACTATGCTAATTATGTTTGTTCTTCCAAAGTTATAATTAAATTGACGTTGTTATCCAGCTTTTCGCTCGGGGTATCAACGTGTTAATTGGAGCATCAGCCCTGTCGCTGTTATAATTGCTACGGACGGATATGACCTGGATCTGATCTTCATTTGACCGCTGGTAAAACCATGGCATCTCATACGCTATCACCTTCGTTTCTACTAAATATACACTCTCCCATCACTACCACATCATTTCAGGCCTACTACCATCACCTTACAACCACTATTACCACCATCACCATTATTATCAGTCAGTTTTTTTGTAGAATTTAATTGAAATTGCCAGACACTGATATTCGAATAGGATTTAATTGTTCAGTATGTTGAAATATACTTGAGGCACATAGAAACGTAAATTTTTCGATGGATGTCCAAAAATGACGTTTATTCTTTTAAACTCCTTCTTTCTCTCTCTTTTCCTTTATGATTGTAGCGAAGCATGGGAAATGGTCTTATATCTCCATAATTATTTCGGGCTCATTTGAAATTGAAAGTTATGCATTTGGATTGAGTCAGCAGAATCGCGTACATTCCATTCCCTTTTAATTTCCCCAATTCTTCCTTTCCCATTCCCCACTGCCGATCTACACAATACTGCGACAAAACCTGCACTGAACTGATCAGAAGAAGCCATGCAATCGACCGATCAGATCAGCAGGACAAGAGATTTCTCAGCAGGCGTTCGATTGCATCAGATCTTTCTATCAACGAGCGTGAGAGGGATTTTACGAAATGAAAAGAAAGGAACATAAAGGATCAGCAAAAACTACAACTACTATGTTCATCTCCTTTATTTCGGAGAATGGCTTACACCAAGATCGCCACAGGCGGTGCAAGCTCCATCTACTCTAACTTATGGATTCTGCGCAATGTTTCCCCACGCTCCCTGGTGGCGTCGGGCGTTATTTACAAAAGACGAAACCTACCTTGAGGCTTTTCGGCGCGAGCGCGACTGCTCTGTTCGTCCCCCGAGCGCGCGCGGGTGGGCGGTCGGTAGGTCGCCTGTGTACACAAAGCCGGTGGGTCTGTATTTCCCAAGGAACACAATGGCCACCCGTTCTGGGAACATCGCGGTCTCTCTCTCCGTCCCGCCCCCCCCTCACTACCCGACTCGGTTCATTGGTCGACTCGCCCGAAGAGCCTGCCTTCGGCCATCGCCCTGAACACCGGCCTTCGACCTGAACCATCTGGCCTTTCCCCTTACCGAACGGCCTTGTCTCTGAACCTCACGGCCTTGGCCCTGAACCGCACAGCCTTCGACCTGAACCACCCGGTCTTTTCCATGAACTGCTCGCCCTTCTCCCTGATCCGCCACGCCTTAGCCCTGAACAGCATTGCCTTGGCCCTGAACTGAATGGCCTTGGCCCTGAACCGAATGGCCTTGGCCCTGAACTGAACCGCCCGGCCTTGGCCCTGAACCTTACAGTCTTGAGGCCTTAGCCCTAAAACGCTTGGCCTTGCCCTTGAACCGCCCGATCTTCCCTCTGAACCGCCCGGCTTCCTAAACCGCTCGCCTCCGTCCTGAACCGCTCAGCCTTCGCCTTGAACCGCTCGGCCTTAGCTCTCACCTGCATGGTCTGTTCCCTCAACCACCCGGTATTCGACCTGAACCGCATGACTTTCGCCCTGAACCGCAAGACCTTCGCACTGAACCGCATGACCTTCGCTCTGAAGCGCCGGATCTTCGCCCATACCACCCGACCACAAACTCCAAGGTCCTCTCCTCAGAGTTTTCCTGGTTCGTCCCTTCCCTGCCAATCCCTCTCCGTTTTCGTCATACAACCCACCCACTCGCCCCCCGTATCCCCAGTCTGTTCTGCCCATCAGGCCCGACCCAGGGAACAACAAGGCCTCCTGCTTCCATCCCTCCCCCAGTTCCCCGGAGCCACTGTCCCGTAATTTTATAAAAGAAGCCGGGCGAGGAATCAACTTACTTCTCGTCGAAAACCCCCACGTCCCGACCCGTCCCGTCCAAAACAAGTTTCGCCTTCTCTCGCCAATTATCCCAAGTATTGGGGGAAAGCGGGTGGGGTTGGGGGAGGGGGCGAGATTAACAGGGAAGTCCGCCCGCGCGCAGACCTTCACCGCCTCCGCATCTGTCGGAATTTGGAGGGCGGGCGGAACCCCCTTCCATCCCCCTGCGTTGCTCACCAACACATAGGAGCCTTCCCCTCGGAGAGATTGAAGTCTGCAAGAGTTCCCTCATCAGCGGGATTGTTTAATACTTTCGCGCAAAAAATTCTCCGCCGAGGGCGAGAGTAACGAAGGCAATGTGCATGCGCCCGAATTTTTTTCGAGCAATAATGACGATGCCTTTAAGTTGTGCAGCAACAACATGTTTGTACAATATACATAACACATTAGATCATTTACTATACTATTATTATTAACTTGATTGGCCACATTGGACCACTTGAGTCGTTCCACTTCACTTTTTACTGTTCATGGTCGACTGTCGAAGGTTTTCACCTTGAGGTGAGGATAAATCCTCGAGTTACAATTCTGAATGTTATTCAGAAAGGTGATAATGAGAGACGCAGGATGATGGATGATAGGGGGTGAAAGGACGAACACAATACAACCATGCCCGAGGCGGGACTCGAACCCGCGATCTTTCGGTACGAGATCGCTACGGCACTACTGCGTTTGCGATCTCGGCCACCGGATCGGCATTTACTATATTACTATATCATATACTATTATTACATATATTAGATCAGAAATCACTATTAAGCCTCGCATGGAAAAGTTAAATTCATAAAGACTGCGAATATTCTAACCATAATTGAAAATAATCCTCACATTTTGTGATAATTTATAAAAATATAATTTCTGTGTGAAAGGTTTTCTTATACATATACAGTAATAAATTGAATATACTATTTAATTTTGAAATTGGCTAGAAATAGGTCCAGAGCGTCATGTCTCAATCGAATACAATTATCAATTAAAATAAAGAACCGTTAGCGAAAATAGCAACTGTTAATTCCTGTATGACGACAACAAAAAAACAAAACTCAGTTTGATGAAAATAATCATTGTAGCAGATTCAGGATCAGTTACACTATGTAAGCGAATAACCACTACCAGAATCGAGATATTTGTCACACCGTGGGCCATCCGTCATATCCGTGTCGTAGATGCCTGCCGCCCGAGATACGAGTGTTTTTAACAGTCATCCGTAATTCTTTTTGTTCATTAAGGGAAATTTTCTTTCTGGATGTGCCTCGTAGTTTTAATCGCATAACTGTTTTAAAATTATTGACGTTTTTGGTAAAATTTGTCAATATTAGAAAAAGAGAGACGAAGGTCGACGTTATGACCAGACACGCATATCTTCTTGCACTTCAAAGAGCTGAAAATTCACGCAGTTATTACAAATATTATAATGATTACTTTATTCCGTTATATTCTTCATTTTCGTTATAACCTGGCAGTTGTAACAGCTCAACATAACAGGTTATTGGGATAACTTATTATTTGTTTTGTAAAAAAAACATTTGCACTCTCCTATTAGAACGGCTCGGGTCACTGAGAAGCACGAAAAATATTCAGCCGAATTCTGTGTATAATCTGATTGTAAGCCCTCTGTTACATTAATTAGAGTTACAAATGTTATATAATTTAAAAAGACGCCACCCATTAAAAACTAATACACTAAGTTTATCTCTTTACCAAAACCATTGTTGCTTTATAATTGCATTTAAAAAATGTTACACCCAGGGGAAAACAGCTGAAAATATCAGTATACCGAATCAATAAACCGGTATTTCCATTCCTAATTTAGGCGCCTCATATACCTCCACAAGAGGAGCGGTATAATTCTGTTTTAAGTTGGGAAGTAAAGTTATCGCATTATTTTTTTGTGAAGCTGCACAATAAGATAGACTAATCTGAGGTTTCGACAGATTAAACCCTGTATATTATCTTCAAAGAATAAAAGAAGTTGCCTTTCAGAATTGACTTCCACATCGATTTGCGTAAGATCAACAAGTGTCTTTTTCCAATCTCACGTTCTCATCCGATAAGACTACAAACCAACTTTTTTCATTCTCTTCAACTTGTGGAGCAGCTCATACTGCTTACGTAGGGGCGCTGGCTCATATGCTTCGTATGCAGCTTCACACACAAGGCAGGTGTTCAA